AAAATGCCATAGTTGCACTTGGTTTCTTACTAGCACTTCTTGAATGACAATTGTCCATAATCTGTTTTTCCTTTAGATTTGTCCCTTATTAAATCTTCCCTACCCATTCTCTGAGTTTATTAACATTTGCCTTCTTGAAATCCAGTGCTGCTGGTCACTTGGATCAGATGGCAGAAGATGACACTATGTTCCCTGCAGCGCTGATTTCTTGTAAAATGTCCTATCTGGCAGCAGACTGAGTTGTATGTTACACTGCCCTCTACTTACGTGCAAAGCTGCAATGCAGCCGAGGAAGGTTGTGACAATCACAGTGTGTATTAGGCCTTAACATTTAGGCTGCTCTTCAGAATTTATTAGACAGAATGGGAAGAAAAATATAACTTCAGAGAAACTTTCTGTAAGGTATTAATAACTTCCCTTGTAATGAATCTCAGTCATTGCGGACAGAGGATCTGTGCTAATGAAGTGTTTAGAACACAAATTCCTTGTGATAATAAATACTCCAGACTAAGGTATGTAAGGATGCTGCTCTACCTAGTTTAATAAAAGCTCAGACCATTATGTGTTGATTTCATGTTGCAATGGACAGACAGTCAGACTTACATGTAATGGGGGAAAGGAGGAAAAAAGGCAATAAACTTCACCTTAAGCAGAAATGGCCATATCAGACCTCTGCCTTGTAAGAACAGTGACAGAAGCTCTTATATCTAATGCAAAAGCAGTAAGACTTCAGACTCCTTCTAAAACCCTCCAATATTCTTTAATGTTGGTTGAGACCACTATAGATACATCATGGTCCCTCTCACAGGTCAACTAATGATGGTCAATAAGTCAGACCAAGCTTGATGCTTATATTAAAAAGCCTTCCTATTGCACCATTGTTTTTACTGACAAAATTACAATGAGAGTTCCTTTACTATCACTTCAAATCAATTTGGTTTCTCTAACTAATGAAAATTAATTACCAGTAAGCAGTCCCATCTGTAGTCAACTTTTATGAGAGCTATAAACTAGTAACAATACAGGCATCATGGTGTCAATGTGGTGTGGCAAGATAGAGGAGCAAGCCCTGCCTGTAGTCAGAGTACTGGTGATGGCTTAGGGAAATGCAGGTTGTTGAATCACTCTGTTCCATACTGCAGGGAACTGATGTGCAGTGTCCATACGCTATCTAGTGGCTCTGTCGATTATGACAGTGTCTCTGAATTACTCTTTTCACCTGTGAATTGCAGGATTAAAAAATACTTTAGACAAAACTGGAATTTGTGAGTCTGTAACCATTCCCTAATGAATCTAACACATTTTGAGGCCATAAGTGATTAACGAAGAAACCCAAAGAAGTGATAAAGACTGTGTGAATGTGCAGGTAAAACTCTTCATGGGGGCTTCTAGGCAGTCAGTCCTGTCATTAACAGATGTCTGACAGGCACTGGTTAAGATCTTTCTCTTTTCTGTACAAACTTTGTTCTACATTTATTACTAAAAACCCCCTCAGTTTAGGAGTGCTTCAAGAACAAGTTTAAGTATCATCTTTAGTTGCTAGATTCTGCAATATTTTGTGAGGTAAAGCCGATAATCTAAATATCTTAGACTAAGCGCATAGTAGACAGTAATGCAAGGCTAGAGGTGTTCTCTCCAATGGGGAATGCTAATCTTCTTCCCTTGAGATTATGGACTAGCAAAACGTGAAGATCACGCGTAACAACATTCTGATCTTCTGTTTCTGCCAGAGATGTGACTGCTCTTCAGTAAAACAAACAGCCCTTCTGTTTTGTTATTTATCTGTGAAATGGAAAAAGTACTGTTCTATGGAAGCTAGAACTGCTTTATAGATGAGTACTACTGCTGTAAAGGTAATATTTTCTATATTTTATCTATATGAAACAGAAAATATTGTATTTATATACAGTCTGTGCCAGCACACTTAGGGGTATCATCTGAGCTACAACTAGCACACAAACGAGTTATATTTGAAAAAAAAGAAGTCTGATTCACCCTCTCAGCAATTTTGCACTTTTCTACTTAATAACTGAGAAAGCTCTCTAGACAACTCTTAAAACACCTATCTTTAGTTGTACTTAATGACATATGTGTTTTAGGAGGCTGAGTGAAGACATGATGCTGCAGGTTTCAGCTTGGGTAACTTTTCTTGAACTGTTCTTTCTAGGAAAGCAGAAATTTTCTTTTGTTCTTCACACATATCAAAGGTGCCAATTTTGTTTTCCCTTTTCAGTAAATAATTTTTCTATTTATACTTCTGAACCCTTAAAACAAATTTAAAATAGCTGGCAAATAATAAATAGCTGGTTCGTATTACCAGCATTTATCATGACTTCCAATATGAAGCTTCTAAGGTGCATATCTTTTGCCACATACAATAGCAGTTAATAAATATGCACATGAATACAACAGAAGTATATAAAGGTAGTTGCATGTGATGAGAAAACCATGCATAAGAGTTATGCCCTTTCATCTCAAATAAACCCAAAACTCAGAGCCTTAAGTATAGTGCTAATTTTGCCTGGCAAAGAGTTAATTTTCTTCACAGTAGCTAGTATGGAGCTGTGGTTTGGATTTGTGCTGAAAATAGAGTTGGTAACACAGGCATTTTTCATTATTGCTGAGCAGAGCTTACACAGAGTCTTTTTTTCTGCATCTCATTCCACCACACCAGTGAGAGGTGCACAAGGAGCTGAGAGAGGACAGAACCAGGATAACTGACCCCAAATGACCAAAGGCATCCTCCTGAGCATATGGTGTCACGGTCAGCATATAAAGCTAAGGGGGATGAAGGAAGAGAGGGGCGTCTATTTGGAGTAATGGCATTTATCTCCTCAAGCAATCATTATGTGTGATGGAGCCTTGATCTTCTGATATGCACCTGCCCATGGGCAGGGGTGAAGGAATTCCCTATTTTGCTTTGCTTGCACTCAGGGTTTTTGCTTTAGCTATTAAACGATCTTCATTTCAACCTCGATGTTTTCTCACTTTTGCCCTTCTGATTCTCTCTGCCATCTGACCACAGGGACTGAGCAGCTCTGTGGTCCCTTGCTGCCAGCTGGGGTTAAACCACAAGAGCAATAAGCATATAAGAGTTGACAGGGCTACAGGCAACCAGCTTTAAGTGCTCAAAGCTGAGCAGCTTAACCTCTTCTGCCCTCTTAGCCACTAGCACTTCCTCCACTTTTTTCCAATTCAACATTCAGTCCAGATCATTCAGCCTCAGAAGAGATTTAAAAAAAAAAAAAAAAAGAACTGAAGAATAACTGAAGTATAACTGTAACTGAAAGAATTTTCTTTTAAGATGACTGTAAGACAGACGGGCTTAAAAACACATCAGCAAATGGGATACATTTCTTACTAGCACTTCCAGCCTTGTGTATCCTATCAGCATGCACAAACCCCAGCTTAATTTTATTGCTTGTACAACCAGCACAAACCTGGCCACAAAAGTTTCAAAATAAATAATTAGTACAAGAAAAAAAATCCAACACTCAGGCTTCATTGCACAAACGTTTAAAGAGAGGAAATAATTTCTTTTACAAATGTGTTTCTCTTGTATAAGAATAATTTTGTATAGAAAATAGCTCTTTATACATTTTACAGAAATAGGCTAACATTTAAATTCTTTATTAATGAATAATCATTGAATGCAATTTAAGATTTCAGTTATATTTCAGTCACCAAACATCAATAACACAACAATACATCACCGCTCGAGTATCCTTAAACTGTTTGACTTATCAAATATTGAGTCAAGACAGTGAAAACATTCTTAGAGCCATGATAATTTGAAAACACTAAAGTAGCTTGAAACTGTCAAATTATGAAATACTTCCTGAAAGTAATACCATAATTTAAGTGTCAAGGAAGATGAACTTAAACCTTAACAAGGCAGCATTACTTGCTCACTCCTGCTGGCTAATACTGTAAAACCCAAATTGAACAAAAGCTTTCATATTAAGCTAGTTTATTGTTAATGTGACCTTCAAAACACTCCTGAAGGATAGGATGCTATCCAGGACCTGGACAAGCTCGAGAAGTGGGCCCACAGGAATCTCATGAATTTTAACAAGACCAAGTGCAAGTTGCTGCACCTGGATGGAGCAACCCTGGTATGAACACAGGCTGGGGATGAACAGATCAAGAGCAGCTCTGGGGAGAAGGACTTGGGGGTGCTGGTGGGAGAGAGGCTGGACAAGACCCAGCCATGGGCACTCCCAGCCCAGAGAGCCAAACCTGTCCTGGGCTGCATCCAAAGCAGCATGGGCAGCAGGGGAGGGAGGGGATTCTGCCCCTCTGCTCTGCTGAGACCCCACCTGGAACCCTGCATCCAGCTCTGGGGGCCCAGCAGAGGAAGGACATGGACTTGTTGGAGAGAGTCCAGAGGGGGCCACCAAGATGATAAGAGGGATGTAGCACCTCTCCTGTGAGGAAAGGCTGAGAGAATTGGGATTTTTCAGTCTGGAAAAGAGAAGGCTTTGAGGTGACTTAATTGCAGCCATCCAGTACCTGAAGGGAGCCTACACAGATGATAGAGTGGGGCTCTTAACAAGAGTATGTAGTGACAGAGGCTAGGTTTAGATTAGATTTTAGGAAGAAATTCTTTACTGTGTAGGTGGAAAGGCACTGGAACAGGCTGCCCAAAGAAGCTGTAGATGCCTTAACCCTGGAGAGGGAGCACCTGAGCAACCTGGTCTAATGGAAATGTGTCCCTGACCATGGCAGGGGTGCTGGAACTGAATGATCTGTAAGGTCCCTTCCAACCGAGGCCATTCTATGATTCAAAACGAGATAGCAAAAGCTACTCAAGCAAATGCTATACAGCATTAACACAACATATAAATGTAATAAAAATACTTCCATTATCTTAAGAAAACATGGAAGGTAAATTAAAAAAACAACAGTAAATTAAGATATAAAAAGTAAATTTGCAGAGGAGAAAAAATTGAAAAACACATGTATATATATTTATATGTAAGGGTATGCTACGAAGTACATATATTTAAAAATACTCAATTTATTCAAAGACTGTTTAAGTCCATATGGTGTCATGTGGAACTCAAACATAACCCACACTCAAATGCTTTCTCTCTACAACTGCTGTTTCAAGCACCTGTAATTATCTGCAGATTTCCTTGTAAATTAGAGAGAAGGTAAAGCATTTACCCTTGGAATGCAACTTTATGCAGTAATAATTTCTTGCTTTCTAGGTATAATTTTAAATAGAAGATGTAACCAAGTAAGAACTATGAAACCCAATGACTGAAAACCTGAAATTTAGATGCTAATGATTCTATTTAGTATTCATACAGAGCTACTTAGGAGTTTGCCAGCTGTACCCTGTGTGAGTACTGCTGACACTTCCATGCTTCGAATATGTAGTTATGTTTAGTCAAACATGGCTCTCTCTCCAGGTTAGCAAAACTCTTGACACATACAACTTTCAAATAAATTCAGCTGGAACCGGTACACCTCTCCTCCTCACAGCACAGAGGTTGATATGGGACAATAATGAATCACATTATACTGGTTCACATTTTCATGTGGTTAGAAGGAGAAACAAACCCTTATTCCAGTGATTTTGCAAATTCTGCATAGTCAATGTATCCGTCATTGTTCTTGTCATCATCTCTCAAGACATCATCTATTAGACTAATTAGCTCTTCTTCCTTCATTGCTTGGGTATGCTCACCACCTTCCTACAAAACAAAACCACAGTGAACAGTTTAACAATCTTTCTCATCTAGTGGCACATGTGATAAGATTCCTGATAACTAATTTTTTACTAAGCTTTTCATCTTTGGTGCCTAATTTGGTACTATGTTTTATATAATCATTTATAACAATGTAAGCAAATTTCATCAGGTGGAAGCTTTGAAGTCAAAGTTCTTTGGACTTCAGAATGAGCATTCTGCAGTCAAGATTCTTGGTCAGAAGTTACAAAAGCTGAATACCACAATGTATAATGATGGACAATCATCTAATAAATGTATTCTTAATTAGGATCCTGATGTAGTATAGACACTGTAGTTTCTATACATCACAGAAACATCTTACAGTAACACAGAAGTGAAAAAATTCAGCACTGTAGCTTAAAGTCAGTAAAATTCTTAGTAACACCCCTTATGGGAACACAAAGAGGTGCCTTTGCACAAGAAACAGCCAGTCATTATTCTGTTCTTGGCTCAGTATTTTTTGCCACAGGTTATTAGCAGGAAGTTACACTATTCTGAATTGTAACTACCAGAATGTCAATATGAGAAAATGTGTTTCTATTGTGTTCCTAATGACTGGAAAGAAAAAATTGAGTTTAGGAAGAGGCAAACCACAAAAGGTTCTTCTAACACAAATTTTGTGCAGGAGTTATTTTATTGTTTGTGTATACATAGCAGTAACAGTCTGAAGTTAAAAACAGTATCATATGACATGATATGATCATGCCCTATTATGGATGATTTCCCTTTCTCCCTATCCCTACCTGCCAAAGTAATCCCTCTGTAAAATGATTTTCACTCTGGAGCCTTTCCTGATTCTAGAGTTTAAACTAAAATGGAAACTTCCTAAAAACTGCAATGTGACATGAAAAGCTGTGATAATGTACATTTATAAATTCAACCAGAACTATCAGGAGAAGAACAGTCTCATTTTCAGGCAAAACTGTAACTGCAATGAAGATATGTTGCAACTGTTCTGCTGCTTTTAGAGTCAGAACTGTTTCCAAATACATGTGCCCTTACAAAACTACACCAACCTCTTTGTGGACATGTGAGATAGCAGTAGCAAGTTCTAATCCATCCAGCAAATTATTGCCATCATAATCATGCATTTTGAAGTAATGGAGCTGCAACTCTTGTGGAGACATCTCAGATTCTGGTTTCTCAATAACACCTTCCAAGTGCTCCATGATGTGTCTAAGAAAAACAAAAGGCGCAACATTTCCATCAGTTCATATTTAATTCTCTGTTTACAGCAAACTTAGTCTTTGTACATCTAAAAGCACCCTGGGCAACTAAAAGCTATAGTTTGATACCAAGATAAAGGGGGCACAGAGGTTGTTTGTTCGAGGGGCTGTAGAGGCCTCTAATACCTTAGATAGCTATTTCTATTTCTTCTGGTCTACTTAGCAGGCTATCAAAACAACTGAAGCAGAGCCCAAAATCTCTTTTTGGCTGTCTTCCAAAGCACAGGAACTGGAGGAAGATCTTTCTCAGTCAACCATGAAGTGTTCTAGGGAGTTTTATTTGCTGCTAGAATTTATGCTGTTCTGCATTTATGAAGTAGCAAATGAGAATATATATACCTGGTAGGAATATAACTTTGTCTAAAGTATGCTGATATGGGTAAGCAGGATTTCTGTAAGAAATTTTTTATAGCATAAGCAGAGCTAAAGGCTCCAGAGACACCTTTCTAGGTTTCATATCACTACAAATTTATCAAGCAAGCATGTCTCATATGTGGTTTTTGCTAATCATGCAACATTCTGAGAAAATAGGGTGCCCTAGGCTTAAGTCCAACTCGCATAACACTTTAGAGATAAGAAAATCATTAAGAAGTAAAGTTTACACTTTTAGAACATGGAACACATACTCTTTATCTTGTACCAAATTCTTATCAAGGCGAATATTTGGATGTTGACTCTCTCCTACGTGTTCCTCAGCTAGGGCAGAGATGAAGAATGCAGCCATAGCAAAGCAGAATAGCAAATGTGTTCTGAACGTCCTTTGGGCCATTGTGACCTCCTACAAAAAGGAAAACACCCCCCCCCCCAAAAAAACAGATGAAAAATACGACCTACATTCAACAAACTTAGACAGTGCTTAGAAACAACCCCATTAAGTTTCAGAAGAGAAGAACTTGCTGCATTAGAAACTCCTGGCAAACAGAGAACCACAGAGCTCCAATTAAGAGTTTTTGTGAGGGTCCCTATTTTACTGAGTTATGCAGTAATTTTCAGATAATGTCTTTTTTTCCGCTCATAGCTAATGTGCACACCTTAGCCATGCCTGGGTTTTCATACCCCTTCCAGACAAACAAGCAGCCATGCCCTCTGCCTCAGGCAGACGTGCCTCACAGCCAAAGGAGCAAAGGTCGCTTACGACACGGAAGCGGCTCCATCTCATTAGTAGCTCTGTTCAGACTGAACTCCCCAAGGGGCGCCCAGCTGGGCAGCCGTCACGCAGCCGTGCATGTGCGCACTCCCCGGGCACTGACAGCTCCAGAGCGCGCTGCCGGGGGCAGCCCAGGCGGGGTTGCCGGCTTCCGCTCCTGGTCTTCTCTCGGCCCCAGCTGAAGCTACCCCGGTTCCACCGGCCCGGCGCTGGCCACCAGTCAGCCCCCCACCCCCGGTTGGATCCCCGAGAAAGCGCCGCCGCAGCGGGATGGGGCTGGGCCCGCCGTCCCCCCCACCAAGGCCCCAACATCCCCGCTCCAGCACCGGCTGTCGGGCTGGGCGGAGGGGCCCAGCCGCCGCCGGACTACGTACCCTCGGGCAGGTGTCCGCCGTGCCGCGGGCTCCAGGCTGGGCGCGGGCTGGACACCATTCCCGGGCCACCATCCCGGGATCACCCCCGACCCGGCGCTGCCCCGCCCGCTCCGCCGCCATTGGCCGCTCCGCTCGGCCCCGCCCCGCCCCGCCTCGCGGGTGACGTCAACGCCCCGGAGCTCCACGTGGAGCCCTCGCGGTGGCGCAGGTGCGGCGAGGCCACGCCCATTGCGGGGCGGGGCCGGGCGCGCGCCTCCAGGTGTGCGCGCGGGGCTGCGGTGCCGGTGCGTGATAAGCAGTCCGTGAGCCAGCAGTGTGTCCTGTGGCCAAGGAGGCCGATGGAATCCTGGGGTGCATTAGGAACAGCACTGCCAGCAGGTTGAGGGAGGTGATCCTGCCCCTCTGCTCGGCCCTGGTGAGGCAGCTCTGGAGTTCTGTGTCCAGTTCTGGGCTCCTCAGGACAGGAGAGATGTGGAGCTCCTGAGTTACCCAGTGGAGGGTAACAAAGGTGATTAAGGGACTGGAACATCTCTCTTACAGGAAAGGCTGCAGGAGTTCATCCTGTTCAGCCTCGAGGGCACCTCATCAATGTATACAAGCATATACATACCTATATGTATAGTGTATGCAAGGGGCGGTGCCAAGAGGATGGGGTCAGGCTCTGCTCAGTGGTGCTGAGCAAAAGGACAAAAGGCAATAGGCAGAAACTGATGCACGGGAAATTCTACCTGAACATGACCAAGAACTTCTCTGCTGTGTAGGTGACTGAGCACAGGGACAGATTGTCCCGAGATGTTGTGGAGTATCCATCAATGAAGATATTCAGGAACTGCCTGGATGCAATCCTGTTCCACGTGCTCTAGGATGATCCTGCTTGAGCAGGGGAGCTTGGACCAGATGACCCATTTGCAACCCGGTCCATTCTGGGCACTGTGGGGTCTCAACAACCCTGGCCTTCGATGCAGAGAACTCCCTCCCAGAGGATGCATTGGAGAGGTCTCACTGGTGAATACCCTGTGCAGAACCTAGAAGGACTGCAATAGCAGAGCTGGTGGCAGTGAGGGCCCTCGCATGTCCCTCTCCTAGGGCAGTCCCTGGCTGCCCTTGCTCTGGATGCTTCCCTCTAGCCCCATCCACGAAGGACCGCCATGGTTCCTGCTCTGCTGCTCAAGTGGGAACTGCTATAGCCTCTCCCCAGTGCCCACTGCAGTTTATGAATTGTGTCTGTTCCGTGCTCCCCCTCGTACCAGACGCCACAGGTCTCGCTGTTTCCATACTCGACACTTATACAGCCACTTTTGCTTTGGCCTCTCCAGGTCACAGCCCTCGAGCAAACCTGGGCCCCGGGGAGCTGGGGGGGGCTTTTGGCCCGTTCCTCACGCACCGAACCGCCCGGGTGTCTCGCGGGGATCAACCGCCATAGAGCCCTGGGGTTCGGGTGACTTCCGAGGGCGGCGCCGGGGGAACAGCACTGCCGGCCCGTCTCGCCCAAGCAGGGAGCGAGGGGCCACACCCGCGGTGCCGGGACAGCGGCCGCCTGTGCGGGACGCGGCTCCGTGCCCGGCCGTCAGGCGAGAGGCGTCAGGGAGTGGCGGCCATGACGGATGCGCCGTCCCTGGCCGAAGCCCTCGGGCAGGGCCTCCTGGTCGCCCCCGTCTCCCCGCACCTGGCGGATCCACGGGCCCAGCGGCACCTCCCGAGCCCTGCCGCCGGGGACTCCCCGCGGGCAGGGGCGGGGCGGGTCTGTCCCGGCGCTAAGATGGCGGCCAAGGGCTCGCACTCGCACGTGAAGCTGGAGGCGGAGATCGAGCGGTGCCGGGCGGAGGGGCACTGGGAACGGCTCCGTCACCTCGCACAGCATCTGCTGCCGCCGCGGGCCCCGCGCAAGGCGAAGGCGGCGAGGGGCGCGCAGGACGCGGGTAAGCGGCGGGCGGGGGGGCGGGCGGGGCGGCCGCCGGTACCGACCCGCCTGGGCGTGGGGCGGCGGCGGGGCCGGCTGCTCATTCCCTGCCGCCGCCCGGTCTCGGCAGCCCCGCGCCGGTGGGCTGGCGTGGGCGGGAGCTGCGGCCGCCCCGGCTCCTGGACGCGGGCTGGGCAGCGCCGGCTTGCGGGGCGTCATCTGCCGTCCCGTGCCTGCGCCCCGGCCCCGCAGCGGGAGGGGAGGAGGGATGCCTGCGAGAGGCGGCGGGAGCTCAGGAAGCGGTGCTTGGGAAGATCGCGCCGCGCTTCCTCTTGGTGCGTGCGCTGCCGAGCCCGCCGGGCAGCGAGGGGCTGCCGAGCGCTCGGGATGCCGCCCCCGCCGCGGCCAGCGCAGGTGGCGGCTGCCGGCTCCGAGCCCACCCTGGGTGCAGCCAGCCCGTTTGGGCTGCGGCCGGCCCCGTTGGAAAGGTCTCTTCAGCTGCTCGATACGTGTCAGGCTGCTTCCCTCTTGCCCCAGAGCTGCTCTTGGGTGGGTGCCCTTGTGTTACCTCTGTGCATTTCCGAGGGGCACTGCTTTCCTTAAAGACTTTCACATGTAAAACAGATTTCATAAATAGCAAGTATGTGAATTTTTTTTTTCCTGTTACAGCCCACTGATTTGCTGCCTTTTTTTTTTTAATGAAATCTTTTGTAACGAGTGAGACAGCATAACTCAGTCTGAGGTCAGCAAGTAAGTTGTGAACAGGACCAGATCCTACCTGCGGTAGTGGTAAAAAGGGTTCTGCCACTGAAGTCAGAAGAGCTGCTCCTAGGAATAACACTTCTTCAGGGGAATGTGTCCAGAATGTGGCCCTAGCTTTGAAGTTTTTTGGGGTGCTTTAAACTTCACAATGGGAATCATGATGGGGGAGATGTTGGTGCTTTAATACATGTTTATTTTCGAGGCTTTCCAAGTGTTTATATGATGCAGATTGAACCCTGTGCTGAGAACCATACAGCCACCCTTTGGACTTTAGTCAGGTTTCAGCTGCGTTTTCCCAGGTGCAGAGATCACCATACACTTCGGGGGCATTAGCAGTTGAAGAGTTCACAGTAGTTTCTTCCCTTGTAATTAGGAGGTATAACAACAGTATGATTGCTGTAAAAACATGACTTGTTAATTTGCTGCTATGTCATCCTAACTTGCTAGTTACGAAAGAGTAACGCTTTGTTATTGCTACAGAACTTCATTCAGCAGGTTTTGTGCTTCTAGAAATGATTGTGTGTTTAGATGGGATTTTTTTCACAGTAGTATTTGCTTTGTGAGGCTGTGCATATTTATTTCTTAATTGTCTATGGTCTTAACTAATTCCTGAAGTTTGATTACGAGATTAATGACTACCTGAAAGCACTTTATTGTGCAGAAATGATTGCAAGCAAGTTTGGGGGGAAATATACTTGAACACTTACACTTCCCGTTTTATGTACCTGTACCTTGTTTAGTTGCAGACCTGCAAATGGGCAGTAAGAGCTATGGTTACAATTTGATGTGTAGCTGAACACTTAGGCCACAACAACAAAAATGTCTAAAACACAGATGATTATTATATGCCGTATGTGGTGGTGTATAGGTAGGAAGGCATAAGATGTCTCCTGGAGTGAAAATACAGAAATAGGTACACTACTGTGTTTCACTCATTCTCAAATTTCAGAATTTGAACCATAGAATATATATGAAATGTAGGGCTAGGCTCTTAGGTATTCAAAGATTTCCTTGCCTGGCTTGACCTGCTAGTCTGCTGATGGAGGTGCTGTTATTATGAGTGAAAGAACCACAGAAATGGGCCTGTCATGTAAGAACTCCCAGTACTCTGGCAGATGAAACTTTTTCCATCATGATTGCCACATTGGATGATACTTCATGCTGTGTCCATTGCTGCTACCTGTGTTTGAGTGTCTGTTCTGTGGAACTGTGAACAAGGAAGGATTTTAATGCAGAAAGAGTTTTATGTGGCACGTTAATTATGGCAGAGGATCAGTCTTTGTGTGCCTTTAGTAATGGATGTGTAGAACGTATATAATTTGTCTTTTAAATTTTTTTTCTCTGTACTTTCAGGAAAATTGTAAAAGTTTTTGATGCAGTTATTGCTCTCACTTCTCTGTAGTCTAAAGCATTCGTTTTATGCTGGTACCTTTGTAAATAAAAAGCATCCACTGAAATGTTTGCAAAGTTTGGTCTTATACTTTCAAAAGGAAATTTTCTGATGCAAATTCTTAACTGTTATATTAATGACAATGTAGAAAGGAATAGTGCTGCCAAAATTAAAGGATTAAGGAGGGAAAATCTTCAAGTTACAACAAAGTGCTGTTTCATTTTTCCATACAAAACATACTATTTGCATTAGATAGAGGTTAATGTAACTTTTTTTTTGTCTATGAGTTCTTCCTTATCCCCTCATTTGAGTTTGTTGTCTGTCTCAAAAGTGTTGTTTTGTTTTTGTAATTCTGTTTATTATCAGTATGGCAGTAAGTAATGTTTCTTGTTGGTGTGTGCTTACAGAGGACTATGGGAGTTTGCTGCTTGCAGAGGCTCTGCTGGAGGAATGTTTGAAGGAAAATTTTGCCAAACTGAAGGACTCCATTCCACTGTCAGAGAAGAGTGAGCCCAAACTGAGTGAAGCTAAGCAGTATCTGACCAATATCTTAAGCAGAGGGAAACTAAGAGTAAGTGGGCTCTATTGTCATAATTCCTGCCGACTGGATAATTGTTTCATATGATTATTAGCCTGATACAGGGTGTGGGTGTTACCTATGTCCATAGATGTACAGTGCTGTATTGTAGGTGATACTAAGAGACTGATAATTCCCCTAGGCAGGATTTTATGTTGTGAGACTTGCTTTTTCATATGCAGAGAAATTATATGCTATGAGGACATATCCTGTG